TGGGGGGGGGGGGGGTGTTGGGGGATGGGAGAAATGGGTGAAGGGTTTAGAGAGTACAGACTTCTATCTATAAAATAAATAATTCATGGAGATGTACAGCAGGGTGTCTCCAGTTAATAATATGATACTGTATATTTGAAAATTGCTAAGGGTAAAATCTTAAAAAGTTGATCACAAGAAAAGTTTTGTAACAATTTATGGTGATGGATGTTAACTAGACTTAACTGTGGTGATCATTTTGCAATATATACAAATATTGAATCATTGTGTTACACACCTGAAATTAATGTAATGTTATATACTAATTATATCTAATTTTTTTTAATAAAAAATTTTTTTTAATTCACTGAGTAAGAGTAGGAAACGGGCTCAGGGAGGTTATACTCAAGTCCACAGGGCAAGTAAGAATGAAAAAGGCTTCCTTCTCCTGAACCCACTGCTTTTCCTCTATTCCAGCATTTTCTAAGATGTCAGCAGCAATGAAGTTTAAGTTTGGGAAACAATGTGTTCCCCTCCCTGGAGAGTGCATCATTATAGCTCTGAGAAGTCCTGAAATCCAGAAATCTGCCTAACTTTGTATTACACACTTATTAAATTCTGACCATCAAATCCTTTTTTTCCTAATCATCATTAACACAGAACCAGAGTTCCTAGGAGCACACTTTAAGAAATGTAGCATCCACAAAAGTCATAATCTCTGCAAGACTAAGTGAAACCATGGTTAACACTCTGTTCACAGTCCCTCTTACTGGTATCATTTTTTGAAGAGTAGTGTAAAAAACTGATTTTATACCAACTTTATGATCCATGAGGTATTTTCTATATTTCTGTACATAAGGAAAGGCAGATATTTGCTCCCCAGTAAGGCATATATATAAGCCACATAAAAAATCAAGTTTCTTTTTAGATTGGAATTGTACCAACTCAGTATGTTAACACATTGATTGATTAATAAAATTTATTGCATGCTGATTTTAAGGTCCTAATTGACTGGTGATATCGCAGATATTCCAAGATGTAATTGGAAGAATAAACACTGTTTTGTTGAAACTGTCTATGTCTGTACTAGAATTAAACTCAAGGGCAGAATGACAGTCAATGTATTACTCATTTGGTCTTCAAATTAGCTTTGTGAACTAGGGGGGAAGGTGTTTACCAGCTCCATTCATAGATGAGAAACAAAGTGATAAACCCAAAGTTAAGTCTTCCAATTTTCTATTATCCCATATTCTCTCATGGCTGTATTTTCATAATCCTTCGAAAATGCTTATGTTTTAATGGAGTGCATTAAGAACAGATAGACTATGTAAACCATGAAATGTGCTACTACTAATAAATGCCCTACTTACATAAATGAAAAGTTATCACAAGAAAATTCTTTAATGGATAACATCTTAACCTTTTAGTTCCTAAGGAAGGTTTGAAGAGTCAAGAGCTGTTTGATGAAATTAGAATGACCTACATCAAAGAGCTAGGAAAAGCCATTGTCAAGAGGGAAGGAAACTCCAGTCAGAACTGGCAGCGGTTTTACCAACTGACAAAACTCTTGGACTCCATGCATGATGTAAGTGTCAAACAAAACTCCAAATATCAAAAGAGACATAAAGTATGTCCTGATGAGTGTATATAATTATATACCACTAGTTGTCGGGGTTTTCTTTTTTTTTCCCATTTATCGATTTTCGTGATGGTTTGATTTCAACCTGTAAAGTTCCGTTTGGCACACATTTCTCCTAAGGCCAAATATGAAATACTGTTTCATCGAGTTATGTGCATCTAACATCATGATGCTAGTACAGAATTTAACAGCACTATTTTTTTTTTTAAGGTAGAATTCCTTATTTTTGTATGAATTTATCCAGTAAGTTCGAATGTGTCCTTCATATATTACGGTACTGCAGTTCTTCACGAAATACTTAATTCCATATCATTCTATAAACAATTAAAGAAATTCAAAGATTTTTGGTACCTGAGTGCTCATTTTATTTTGGTAAACTTTTTTCACCTGGGGAATTGCAGCAGAGATTGGTATATTCTAAGTCAGAAATTTAAAAAAAAGAAAGAAAGAAAGAAAGAAAATAGAGGCCAACAACAAGCATGAGATATCCCTACTGCTAATTTTTTAAGACTGTTCATTACTATATATTCTCTTGCAGGTGGTTGAAAATCTCCTTAACTATTGCTTCCAGACATTTTTGGATAAGACCATGAGTATTGAATTCCCAGAGATGTTAGCTGAAATCATCACCAATCAGATACCAAAATATTCAAGTGGAAATATCAAAAAACTTCTGTTTCATCAAAAGTGACTGCCTTAATAAGAAAGGTTGCCTTAAAGAAAGTTGAATTTATAGCTTTTGTTGTACACACTGTCAGTCTGTCCTGTAGCAGTTTTTTCTTTTTTGTTTTTGTCTGGTTTTGGTTTTTGTTTTGTTTTAAATACGCACTACATGTGGTTTATAGAGGGCCAAGACTTGGCAACAGAAGCAGTTGAGCCATCACTTTTCAGTGATGGGAAAAGTAGAAAGTGATAGTTGGTGGATCCCAGAAATTAGAAACAGTAACATGGGGGTAAGCTCCACTTTCAGAGAAGGATGGCACCTAAACCACCAGTGCCTGAAGTCTGCGTGATGAACTTTCTGCTCGTACTTTTCACAGTTGGCTGGACAAAATTTTCTAGACTTTTTGTTGGTGTATTTTCCCCTGTATAGTTAGGGTAGCACTTTTTGATTTATGCATGGAAACCTGAAAAAAGTTTACAAGTGTATATCAGAAAAGGGAAGTTGTGCCTTTTATAGCTATTACTGTCTGGTTTTAACAATTTCCTTTATATTCAGTGAACTATGCTTGCTCATTTTTTCTTACATAATTTTTGTATTCAAGTTATTGTACAGCTGTTTAAGATGGGCAGCTAGTTCATAGCTTTCCTAAATAAACTCTAAACATTAATCTTCTGTGTGAAAATGGGTTGGTGCTTCTAACCTGATGGCACTTAGCTATCAGAAGACCAGAAAAATTGACTCAAATCTCCAGTTTTCTTGTCAAAAAAGCTCATATTTTGTACATATCTGCTTCAGTGGAGAATTATATAGATTGTGCAAATTAACCGTCCTAACTGGTGTAGAGCACCTAGTCCAGTGACCTGCTGGGTAAACCATGGATTACAAAAGACTAATTTAAAAAAATTAAAAAAAAAACTACCAAGAGGCCCTGTTTGTACCTAACACCCTATCTATCTCTGCAATGGTTAGATGGCAAGAAAGTTGGTAAACTGTCTTTCAGGACCTTTTGTTGTAGTTTGTATAACTTCTTAAAAGTTATGATTCCAGATAACCAGCTGAAACACAGCTGAGAAGATTTTAATCTGTCCAAGTAATTCCTCCCACTAAACTTTACACCCCCGCCCCAAAATCTGTAATATGGCAAAAGTGGCTAGACACCCATTTTCACATTCCCATTTGTCACCAATTGGTCTTTCTTTCCTGGGGGTACAGGAAAGCTCAGCTACTGATTTTTCTGATTTAGGACTATATGTCAGACTTCTGTGTTCGTAAAACTATAGACATCCCTTACATCCTTATGTGTGCCATGGAGTTCAACAAAAGTCATGTGAATTTCTCCTCCTCACTGTTGAGAATTATCATTTTAAACAAGATAGAAGCTGTAGTAGCCCTTTCTGTGTGCACCTTACCAACTTTCTGTAAACTCAAAACTTGTATTTACTAAGCCACAAGAAATTTGATTTCTATTCAAGGTGGCCAAATTATTTGTGTAATAGAAAACTGAAAATCTAATATTAAAAATATGAAACTTCTAATATATTTTTATATTTAGTTATAGTTTCAGATATATATCATATTGGTATTCACTAATCTGGGAAGGGAAGGGCTACTGCAGCTTTACATGCAATTTATTAAAATGATTGTAAAATAGCTTGTATAGTGTAAAATAAGAATGATTTTTAGATGAGATTGTTTTATCATGACATGTTATATATTTTTTGTAGGGGTCAAAGAAATGTTGACGGATAACCTCTATGATTTATAATGTGTGCGAGCATTCATACAGGCAGCAGTGGGCTCAGAAACCAAACAGGTCTGCTCTAGAGGAAGAGGGAGATGGAGACTGGCCCTGTGTGCTGTGAAGGTTCTCGAGGCTCCGTCCCATTGAGGTCAGAGAGGAAGTAACCCTCTGCCTCCCAGAATGGCCACCCTTCTCATTCCAACAGTGAGTCTGTCCGCGCAGGTTTAGTTTTACTGAACCTCCCCTTGCGCTGAAGTGTGTAATCAGGGGACAGAAAGGCGGTGCTTACACACCTACAGGCACCATCACGTACAGCCTCTCCAACAGTTTAATAAAAACAGAGGCTTTAGAAGTTTGGCAATAATACGCATAGAGGTACCAGCAATATGTAAATAGTGAAGAATCTCATAGGTTGCCAATAATACACTAATTCCTTTCTTTCCTACAAGAGTTCATTTCCAAATGAGGACATGTCTATGTTTTCTTCGAATGCTTTTTGAATGTTCTTATTTTTCGGTATTTTAGAGAAATTATTTAATAAAAAATGTAATCATTTGCTTTTTGAACGCTCTCTAAAAGGGGCTATTCCTTTGTAATTGTTTAAATTGATCTCAAAGTATTTTAAAATGGTTTGTAACCCAGCTGGATGTGAAATTTTTGGTGCCTAAGAAATACCGCTTGAATATTATCATCAGCGACAGTGTTACGTTTCAGAAAGAGCTTCTGAAAGATAAATTATTATTCATTTATAGAACGCTGCAGAAAGCACATCACACGAGAATCTGGACTTTAGCCCCAACGACCTTGGCTCCCCCAAAATAGAGCTCAGTGAATAAAAGATATGTGCACTTTGTGGTTAAAAGGAAATGGACTGACACTCATAAAACTATAGGAGGCTGTACATTAAATGGAAAAAGAAGCTGTGACAATTTAGGATATGTGGGAAAGAAGAAATTTACCTGAATTATGTGTGAGTATAATTATGGATTTAAGTGAAGAAAGCTATGGTGCTATTTGAAAGCAGCTTCATCTTCTATGTATGTGGTATCTTGCCATCCCAAGCTGTTGACGTTCGTAGTAATTTCAGCGAGAGGTGACATGCCTAGGTGACTCACAACAAATCCTGAAAAGTATTTTTAATTACTGGTGGAAAAAAGTGACCCTCTCTGTATTTTTAGCCCTTGCTCTGGGATACTATACAAGTGCTTTGGGATATGTATACCCAACTGTCTAAAACTATGAGGGAACCCTAAAAGAGCACCTTCCTTCTCCTGGAAAAAAAAACAAGACACCCCAAAAGGAAAACTAGCATGATTAGTGTTTATGAAGAGCTTAATATTTAGCATAGGATGAGCTCTGGATATGCATATAAAGGAAAGCCAGCCTCACTTCAGAACTGGGGGATGGGAGAATGAGCAATTCCAATTTCACTTATCTATCTACACAACCTATTATCGTTAAGTCTTATCATTTTAGTTCTCTGTTAAATATCCTAAAAGTACATCACCATGAGATAAACAATATTATTATACTTTGATCTGATAGAAGTCAAGAACTGTGGCAGCCTTCAGTGAGATTTTGATCTTGGTGGATCACCCACAAAGACTGTAGCTGTAGAAGAAAGCGTTTTTCTGTACCTGGTTTGAGAATTGGAAGAGAAAATAAGAGTGTAAGGAGGACATGTTAACCCCTTGGAATGGAAGTTCATCGTTTTCAGTCAGCCTGGTCCACCAAGGATTAGTTACCAGGTTTTTGGGAAAGGATTACCTTCTCTCTAGAAAATGCCTGAAAGAAGGATTTTATCTTCTGATGAAAGGCTGTATGAAAATACCCTCCTCGAATAACTTGCTTAACTACACATAGATTCAAGTGTGTCAATATTCTATTTTGTATATTAAACAAATGCTATATAATGGGGACAAATCTATATTATACTGTGTATGGCATTATTAAGAAGCTTTTTCATTATTTTTTATCACAGTAATTTTAAAATGTGTAAAAATTAAAACCAGTGACTCCTGTTTAAAAATAAAAGTTGTAGTTTTTTATTCATGCTGAATAATAACCTGTAGTTTAAAAAAAAAAAAAGTGTCTTTTTACCTACGCAGTGAAATGTCAGACTGTAAAATCTTGTGTGGAAATGTTTAACTTTTATTTTTCATTTAAATTTGCTGTTCTGGTATTACCAAACCACACATTTGTACTGAATTGGCAGTAAATGTTAGTTAGCCATTTACAGCAATGCCAAATATGGAGAAACATAATAAAAAAAAAATCTGCTTTTTCATTATATGACTCCAACATGCTTTTGTAGAACTCGTGCAGTTCCAATTTTCCTGCTTTTTTCCTCCCTCTTCTACTGAAGGTGGAGTTACCACTTCAGGAAGCTTAAGATGCTAAAGTGGACATTTAAATGTCAGTGTGGCAATGGTTACACGCTAATATGGCAGAAATTCAAAATGAGCTTAACCCTGGCTTCAAAGACCCAAAGACTGCCCCATCTATGCCTCAGATGGTCATGTACCAACTGCTGCAAAGTCTATTAAGGGAAGGAAGAACTCACTCACTCCTAAGCCTTCAACTATAAGTCTTTCTTTACCATGAAAATTGATATTTTATGTAAATAAATGTATTATCTAGTCAAAATTCTTAATTTCAAATCAGCTCTTTCTTCAGAAAAGGACATAAACATTTAGTAAATATAGCAATCTATATAGTATTTCCAAAAGCATATTGCGTTCAGGTCATATCCATGAACTGGATGATCTAACAAACTTTCCTATCAATACTCTTCTCTCCACAAGTGACCTCCATCCCTAAGGAAAGGGTATTATGATTTTAAAACCAAGTTTGCCTTACCCGTCATATGTGCACCAAGTATTTGCTATGTACCCACTATATGATAAATACTGAAGCTAGAATATGAACAAGAAAAATACTGTTGCTACCCTCAGTCACTTGCAAAAGTGTAAACAAACCTCCTTTCCCAGTGTCTTAAGGTACAATGCAGAAGTGCCAGATGATATGGCACCAGTATGTATACACATTACTGCTTTACCGTTCACTTCAAGTATTAGCCTTACATTTGAGAACACTTTCACATACATTATACTAGTTAATCCTCGCCTACCCAATAAATGAATGAAATAAAAACAAATTCCGAGGAAAACATTAACTCTGTTTTATAAAAAAGGGGAAAAGCTCAGAGTTTAAACTGATTCATACCTGCTAACTCCCATTTTATTGAAGTTTGAATGAAAAATCTTTGTAATGAGGCCACATTTAT